CAATTGACGCGTGCAGCTATCGGTTCTCAATAATTTCAAAATTGAGGTCATGAGTGAGAATCTGCCTTTCGAAATATCAGTTCAAGAGGAATACAAGAGAATGATAAACACAAGCTGTGAGAGATCCTCCCATACACAATAACAGACAAAAATACATTTTGTTGCAATGTGAGAGTGCGTAAGAAGGAGAAAGAACCCTCTGGTCAATCTTATCCCAGCAAGTTGAACAGTCGGACGAAAGAAGGAAAGAGCACAGATACACAGAAACAATAGAAAACAGGAACCATAAAGTAATAATTAGTAAATCATGCCGCATTAACAGATTAACTCGAAATGAACAGAACCGTCTGTAACAGCGCTTACATGAGCAGAAGAGGGGAGGGAAAAGCCATCGGGTGAAAACTGTGGAAATCAATGAAAAGAAGAAAGACCGACAAATACATTGTTTATATGAGATCGTTAATGAGAAAACAATCAATAGCCTTGTTGGTTGATTGTATGAGCAGTAAGAGGAATTTTCGAGATGGTCGTGGCTGCTACGAATGATCAGAGTTTGACACCGGACTACAACTTCAAAGAAAGGAGTGTTTGAATGGTCAGTTCTTAACCTGATTTATCAACACAAGCAGATCAAAGCAGCGGGCACAAGTCAGAAAAAGTGTCTAGGAACACGCTCTCAAGTTACATTATAGCAATTAAAAAAGGAAGAAAAGGTTACAAAGGTTCCTAATCAATAGTCCTGTAAGTTGAATGGAGGAGCAGAACTCAATCAGAGATCAACTGAGAAGGTTGAGCACACAAGGGCAATCTCGACAATTAAACTACAACTTCAAAAAATTTTAAAAGGCTATCAACAAAACCCAATGAAAACTTCCATAAAAAAAATGTAAAATGAAATCACTGAATCAAAAAGTTAGCGTTGCAAAACAAGGAATCCTTCTAAAAGAGATAATAACAGCGTTCTTCTAACACAAAATCAAAAAGTAAATCGTCCAGAACAAAGACACAGAAAATCTCTCCCCAAATGAACCTCTCAGCCTCTTAACTCTCTCATACACCTACATCTATACAGTGTATGGAAACCTCTTATACCGAACATCTTCTCATGGTTGGACAACTGCAGAACAACAGAAAACTGCTCGAACGCTATCAACTCTCTGCTAGTCTTTCGGAAACACAGGGATCTTTTCATCCATTTCGCGCTCTTCCCTTTTCTCACTACAACACTCTTTCATGATTTTCATCTGACTATTAACTCTCGAACATCCTTTTCAAGAAATACAAAACAGCCTATGAAAGCATCTCAATTACTGTGAAATAGATTACAGGAAGTCAACAACTCGCTTCACGCATTCTCTGTACGAATGGGTGTGCATAGACAACACAGACGAACTCAGGGGGGTTAGCTATCTTACATACAACAGCTTCTCATTGGTTCATTCTTAACTCACACTCTTTCGAACCAACAGATACTGCAATTCTCTTACGACTTACAGCTGTGATAACTTCATAGAACCTCCCTTAACAACACAAAGGGATAAAGTCTCTTGAACATATCAAGACGCAGAAAGGTGGACATAGAAAGGTGCATATAGACAGGTGAATACAGCGTTGGGAACGAATTGATTGCGCGATTGGTGTCTTGGGTCAACAGGTTGAATCCACTAACAGTTTATACAAAAAGGTTGGTTCTGAGTGAAAGTGAAACAGCGGTTAATCGGACAACCATAGTTTTCCACTACAACTATCAAAGCCTCATGTCATCTATCAGTATGGGAAAGGAAACGAAAATCTCACATCTCTCCACACTCAAACTCTTGAAGATCTTACTTCAGCTCAACATATGACATTAGCAACGGACAGAATAAAAAAACAAAACGAAAACAGAATAAAACCGTCAAAGTCAATTCAATCAATGAGT